AAAAGAAAATTTAAAACCATTTACAGTGGTCCATGTCAACAATCGATTGAGAGTAGTCTGAAGCTGCCGTTCAATAAACCTCATGTTCGACGACTGGCACAAGATGTGGATAAGATGTCTTTGAGTGACTGAACCACTGACACTGAAAACATTGGAGAGGGTTGGGAATATAGGACCGTACCTTACAGTTCAAATAACCTGCCTTAATGGCGGAAGGTGGACGTGGTAATGAAAACGTCAAAATTAAAACTGAGGTCGACACCATAATTCCATCTTGACGAGTGGAGATCCTTCGAACTGCTGAAACTCCTTGATTGGAGAAACCAGCAAGCATCTCCGTCTCTGGGATAGATTTCAAATCCCTCTCAACGATAACTCCTCGTGAGAAATTCAAGGAAGCGTGGGGAGTAACCCCAATGAGTATATCTCCAATGGTCTTTGAATTCAAGAGAAGTTCACTGTGCTTAGGATGGGAAGTTTCTACTAAGATGTCTCCAGAACGTAGCTTCTTAACTGACTTTGGAGAGCCAGCAAGCCCCTATAAGCCCTTCTGAATAAAAAAGGAGACATTTGCCCTAAAGATTTATCTGATAGTGAATGCATGATTAAAAAGCGAGGTACAGGTGTACTGTGTGATGGAGACTGCTGTTCAGAGTCTTCTAGGCGTGGTCGTTTACCAATAAGCAGATTTTTATTTTATTTTTTATTTGGAATGTGGGAATCCATAATTAAAGAGAGAGATTCAGTGCCCACTGACCCCACCCGCCATGGAGTACTACGAGGGGACGCACTACAATGTCAAACAAGGACATTGCAGCAATGCCAGAGTTTCGTGAGCACTATACCCAAACACCAGTATCAGACACTATATCCACAACACCCGTTGAGAACGCCCAACACTGGTACTCAGTTGACCCTAGCCCCAGTAGACCAGCCGATTGACCCTAGAGGTCCACCCCAAGGCCACCCGTCTACAGAAATTCAAGGCCAAAGTGGTGTGTTGCAAAGCCACAGACACCACTCAGCCACCAGGATCCTGTACTCCCCTTTACGGGTCGCTACGCACGGCAAACACGAGGGTGGATGTTTAGATCCCAGAGAAAGTAACTGTAAATACAGAACCTTCCCTGGGAGGTCCCCTCACCACGTTCAGAAATCCACGTCGAGGGCCTTATTGGATCGCTAATCTAAACACTGTTCGACCTTTTGGAATCAATCTAGATCCTGCAATCAGTGTTCTCCGATCAATGGTTTCATCGCTGTCAGAAAAATAATTTTTATTCTTTGCTTATTTGTTGCATGAAGTTTGAACTTTTTTAAAACTTACTATTTATTTAAGATAGTTTTCCATATCTATTTGTATAAATTAATTAGCTTAACATCTCTTTTTCAATCAGTCTCTAGGTGTCACCTATATTTTACTTAAACACTTAAGCAATGGTTTTATTTATTTATTTCTTATTTTCTAATCATTTCCAAAGCAAAATGTCCCTAACACTAACGCTCTCGTCGCCGGCCACGTTGTACCGAAAACAATACACATTTACAACAGTACATGGAAAAATATACTGAATGTTTCCGGGGAGACCAAAAGACCTTCATGACGTCACTCAACTACTTTTATATATCATTTATTTGATTACACCATCATTCCCAGTTTGCCCCTGAAGAAGAAAGGTTCATCTTTTGAAAGCGCTCGCGTTATAATGTTTTATCATTTGGTATCAATTTTCATAGGAAGTTAACATCGTCGACAAATCAATATCTCTCTGTGGACTTTAAACCTGGAGCCACATATTTTCAAATCCAACACTTGTGAATAACTTTTGATGAAAAGTAAGCAATATTGCCGTTCAGAACTACGAAGCAATTTTGAAGTTAAATTATGTTAAACAAGATGGAAAAAGTGCATTATATGGCAAATCAGTATACAAGAAAAATAAAACCTATATATAAATAATTATCGTAAGGTACTTTGCTCTATAGTAATGCATTTACTCATCAGGATTTATATGTTAAAAGTAAAAGCTATATACAAATAATTATCGTAACGTACTTTGCTTTATAGTAATACGTGTACTCATCTTGATTTATATGTTAAAAGTAAAACCTATATACAAATAATTATCGTAACGTACTTTGCTTTATAGTAATACGTGTACTCATCTTGATTTACATGTTATAGGATCTGGTTGTACATATCAAGAAAATAGAAATTGGAGTTGTTGTTTCTTTTTTTGTAATTAGTGAGTGTTCATACTCTAAACTTGGTGTCATATATTTCCCAAGTAGATAATTTTGATAATATCAGAAGTACTGTGGTGTCTTACCTTGCACGCAAAGTAGCTTAAAAAGTGAAATAATTATTGAATCAATACACAATATTCATCATCCGGGTATAGAATTTACTTGGTAGTGTATGAATCCACTAATTTTCATAAAAACAAACTGACTGGCCATTTTATGAAAGCTCTCTACTCTCTCTCTCTCTCTCTCTCTCTCACACACACACACCGTTTATTTGTATATGAAAATAGGTTGATATTGATATTGATGTTTTGAGCAGATATGTAGTCACATATTTGTTAGACTGACAAACAATTGGCAAGGGCAAGGGTCTCTCCAACTATGAAAGGGACAATTAGTATATATACAGTAGTAACATTGTTATCAAAAAGTCTTTGTTTGACCGGCTGTATTTCAATAATGGCAGTTGAAAAGTTATACGTCTTCCATCACTAAAACTGTTACATGATAACCGACGATCATTCCAAAAAAAATCCGACCTCAGATGGATTCGGAAACTAAACGTTTCAGTGACTGAAAGCCGTGATGTGGTCTAATGAACAACATTTCACTTTTTTATATATTTGCAGTTGAGTTAATTAAAACACAGAGAAAAACCCTTTGATTCTACTTGTGTCGTTTTGACAGTTCACACTGCTAGAGTTGATATAATGTTGTGGAGGAACATTATTAGAACTGCGAAATATATCTAGAGTGTAACAGAACTTTGCCGATCATATTCACGCCACTATGCTATATTTCCACACTAATGATCAAAGTATTTCCCAAGACAATAGTGCAGCAATGCATTAGGCTTTTTTTTGTATGAATTGAGTTCCAAGGGTAAAAGAGTGACTTAAGTCATCTTCTTTGTCCAAACCAAACTGCGTCGTCAAAATATCTCCTGTAATATACAAGCTTAACAGGACAGGACTTTAACCAATCTGTTTCGTCAAAATATCTCCTGTAATATACAAGCTTAACAGGACAGGACTTTAACCAATCTGTTTCGTCAAAATATCTCCTGTAATATACAAGCTTAACAGGACAGGACTTTAACCAATCTGTTTCGTCAACATATCTTATGTAACACATTTAAAACGTTCAGGAAAGGACAGTAACCTTTTTTGAATGCAACTCCACCTGATGATGACTCGATACTCTGGATTAAAATGTTTTAATTATTATAATCAGAACTATCCTACTGTAAAAGTTGCTGTTTTTGTATTTGTGAATTAATTATTCTGTTCAGTAAGTTTCTCGCTAAACTAGTGTTAAAAAGTGTTTCAAAACACATTTTGCAACGAAACAATCTAATTTTAAGTTGAACGGTAAAATCTAAGATTGATGGCTTGACAATGGGCTCCAGTCTTGATCCTGATCTTGTTAACCATTTTGTGTGCTTCCATGAAAAAGTTTGGTTACCTATTGTTCATATATTAAAAAAAAAAAAGAGTTTATGATCTTTCAA